TTGAGACGTGAGCTCCCAGTTGCTCTTTAACGACGAGCGTTGTGCATGTGAAGAGAAAACCAACGTGTCCGGAGAATACTCAATCTCAAGAGGAGTAGGACAAACAAAGGCTTTCGTAGAATCGATACCGGTACGCTGCGAGCGTACCTCCACGCATACACAATGGACCAGCGAGGGAACAAAGACAAAGATGCCCCATGTAGCCTTAACACACTGTTGGGGCAAGTGCTGTTAGCGCGTAACACCTATGAAGGCCGGCACGGCGCACGAAGGGGGTGGGTGGCCAGCACCACGCCCGGCCGCCTTTGTCTCCCCAGTACTGATGTTTACACACCACACCAGGTACTCATTTAAGGCTGAGCCAACCTAGGGGAGGCCCAGGACCGGTTTAAACGATCGTCACCGGTGTTGGTGGCCGTGAGTGCGAATCGAACTCGGGTAACAGGGTTCGTAGCGCAGCGCAGCACGCTAACCGCTGCACCACCGCTCCCCACACACCGCCGTGTGCGATATTTGCCCACCCCTCCCCCCCCCCCCTTTTTTATTGTGGACTAAATTCCATTCCATTGGCTTTGGGCCAGGTAAGTGTGGCCTGGAGATTCACACCGACCGACTGCATCGCTAATCGGGCCACTATCGGCATCTATTTAACGGGGATTGTCTGTCGTCGTCAATTCCCCAGTCACCGATCAATTTGGGTTGTCACTTGTTTGTTGCCGCCGCTATTTATTACTGTTTCACTTATTTACCTTAACCCATTCGCAGACGTGTGCACAGACGAGGGAAACAAGTTAACAGAAAGAAAGTTACCCCGCCACTCTCACCATGCGGTCGCACACTGACCACTCATTCAGGCCCCGTGCGTGGCCGAGTCAGCGGCGGTATTTTTTTTTTATCGTGAGCAAGTGACGTCAAATCGGCGGCCGCGTGGCTCGGAGGTCAGAGACCCTGAAGCGGCCGTCTGGAACGCTCTTTCTGCCGATATTAGGAAGCCAGTGGAGCTATGTACTTTAAAATCTGGATTGAAAACGTATTTATCGAGAACTGCTTGTTCCATGATGTAACTGCTTGTCGTTGCGTTCAGTGTTGTCGTCCGTCCCCCGCGCCTCCGATTAGCACGGTTGACTACGTTCTGTGCGAAAAAAATGAAACACACGTACATACAAGCGGTACTGCTGAAATCTGGGCAGCCTCCTCGTGATTAAAAACGGTTCAGTGTCACAAGTGAATTGTCTCAGCCGGATCACCAAAGATTGCACAAACAAAACGCCTATTCATATTAAATCTGATTTTTGTTTTGGCTTAATTTGAGGAAGAAAAAAAATCCTTCTCTGAGAATTGGAAATAAAATGAATGCCACGCGACCGCGAGACTTCGAAAGCAGGGCATGCAGGGAAGTGCCGCATCCCTCGGTGTGGAAAATATGTCACTTGAAGGAATGTGAAAAGTACTTACGTGATAGCTACTTCGACAGGCCATTGTCTAAATAACGGGTGAATGCTCGGTCATACGAGAGTTGAAATTGGATACTTTACCTTCATGGCACGATGTCAATAAAGATAATTTTAATAAAACTGTGGGTGCTGGAGAGGCATGTTCGCATTAAAACCACGAGGTAAAGCTAATAAACAGATGGAGGTTCCTCTAGGCAGGAGTTCATTTGTTTCTGCAGTACACCTGTTTGCTTTGAGGCAATGCTTGGGAATATCCTGGTGGAGCCACTTTATTTACGCATATGAGCCAATTAAAATCTAATTGCAAGTGCCCGTTTTATAAGCAGCACGCTTTCACATTTTTTTAAATATATAAGGCATTAAAAAATTGTGCTTAGTCATCTAGAAGTAGTAATTTTTTTGTTCGCTAATATTTTTCTGAAAAAATCCATTCATTTAAACGACGCCCTTTCACTTTCTATTCGTTTCGCCGTTGCCAACTGCTTCCTCCACCCACCCGCAATGTAAAAGCCCGAGGTTACCGAGGCGTGTCACTCGCGCCCAGGAGGAAGTCGTGGGTTCGATCCTAACACTGACCGATGCCTGTATAAATTATTTAAAGTGTGTGCGATCTCTCCCCGTGGGCGTGTGCATTGTTCTGTGGGTTCCTTACGGTCTTTGCCCTCCACATTTAGAAACAACGCGCGTTTAGATTATATTTATTAGTCCGCCACTGTCAACGTTCACGTGTGATACGAGCCACTTCGATGAGCACACAGCGTTGGTGTTTGCACACAGCGTTGGTGTACGGTGCTTTTTCAGGAATATTTTGCTGTTTTTTCCTGGATTTTCTGTTTGCACAGTCACATAGTCACTTTAAGATGTTTTCTTGTTGATGTTTTTGTTTTTTGTTTGTTGCGGTTGCACCCGATTCAAGAGCCGAATGGCTCACAGGGCTATACGAATTAAATGAAACTGAAATGAAACTGAAATCACCACGCGTGGCCAAGTCGCCGAAAAATAGAGTCAATAGCTCAGTAGGCTTTGCCTGCTTAAGAAAATAGTTTTGTTTAAAAACAAAGCAACGTAACCCTATTGCCTAGTATGCTTTTACGTGCCACCGATCGGAACGCCATCAGCGCACACGCCTTCCTGCCAGCCACCTGGCCTCTGACATCTCTGCGAATGCGCTGGCACAGAGTGGGACCCCCCTCCCCCCACGCCATCCAACCCCCTATTGCGCCACGGCACTCAAATAGCAGTAAACATAGCCCGGGGCACGCGCTCCGACCATCGGCATCGTGCAGCAGATGGGCAGAGGCGAACACCGCGTCGATTAAATCCGTGGAGAGACTTCGAACAATTTGCATAACCCGTGGTCACGCAGTTTCGGCATTGACAGTAAGTTGCGTCGTGAACGGAACACGGCACTGCATGGTGAGCACGTGGAATGTCTTGTTTTTGGTGCTGCTCGTGCTAGGGCGGTAGATGTATCACGCGATGAACGATAGTGGCGACCTTGCACGAGCGTGCGTTAGGAGAGCGACGAGCTGCCCCCGTCAATTTCTGTCCCGATTAAAGGTTTCGAGAGCAAATCGAAATTATAAAAGGATGACGAAATGTGTGCAACGTTGGTGGGCACCTTCTTCGAATCCTTGTGACGTTTACAGAAGGTGTGTGACTGTCCGCGATAGGAACACGGGGCATTTGTTACGGCGAAAGCGCCGGTTGGTCAGATGACGCTTCAATTTCGGCCTGAAATATTCTCGAAGGAAGCAAAATAATTCATGATGACGGGTAATCGTGAACTATGCTCATATCAGCAGTTGTGGGTGTGGGTTGGGGGGGATACGTGTAGGAACAACGTGGGGAGCGGTTGTTGTAGCGGTTGACCGCGCTGCGCTACGAACCTGGCTACCCGGGTTCGATTCCCGCTCACGGTCAACACCAGTGACGATTATCTGAACCGGTCCTGGCATTGGAAAGTTCGTGGACTGCCGGACCGAGGAGAGTGCGCCTCTAATAGGGGGTGACCGTGTGGTAGGAACACTCTGTCATGTTGCTGCTAACAAATTGGTCTCCGAAAAGTAGCAACCGGCCTATTGAACTTGTTTTTTTTATAACCCCCCCCCCCCCGCAGAAACGCAGCACGGCGCACAGCTCATGGAATACCCTGCGTGCACGCGGAGCGCCTGCATGGCCATGCCTCTGGCTGTCTTTAATGAGGACGCCGCCGTTGCGGCAGTGGGAAAAAAATCCCATCACAAAGTGAGCAAGGGTAGGGCACGAAGCGGGAAGGCCACTTCGTGTGGGAGGGTGCACTGGAGATAATCACACCCACGACCTCAACGTGAAACTCCACATCGTGTGGACGAGGCCACACGATGTGACAGAGCTCGGAGGCGAGCCGTCGACTGTGCGAGGAAGCGAAGGCCAAGGTGCCGTGGCATCAACGGCGTTGGCCACAGAGAACCTCCCCAGTGGCCCCATGAAGCTGCCTCTAAATTGGAGTGGGCGGGTGTATCGGGGGGCGATGGGGGGTGAGAGGGGGGGGGGATTGTTCATTGGGGGGCACACATTCTCCCGGGTTGTGCGCGTTATATAATCGCTACTGCTGTGCCGTGGGAGGGGGGTGGTGGGGGGGGGAGTGGGATTTGGAGGGGGGCACGGCTTAACCGGCTTTGGCTTGATGTGTCGCGCTGTGACAGGTGACACTAAGCCTTCCAGGGTTTGGATTTCCCAGCGAGATGCCGGCTCCAACTTCGGCTTCATCGGCGAGGTCAGGGCCGAGGTCAGGGTCGGGGTCAAGGCCAGGCTCACACACAGGCACCGAGAGCTCACGCCACGACTCACGCAAAACGACTCTTCCGCTCTCTGTCAGTGCCTCTGCTCTGTGGTCTCATCACGGAGTGCCCTCCGGACCTGGTCACCCCCAAAGATTAACGCACGGGGAGGAAAGAATAAATAAACTGTCAATGTTTTGGGAAATTGGTCTTCATCAGTACTCATCAAGAGCCGTTAGTGAAATTGTTGGTGAATGGCTATCCTATATTTTATTTTGTACCGCGATGCCCAAGTGCCTGTTTGGCTCATTTATGTGACGCAAACATTCGGATGCTTTGTATCGCAAAAAAAAATGTATAAAAATACAAAGCTTGTTTTACATCTTCCCTTTTGCCTTACAACACTGGAATGTTAATGTCGGTCTCTGTTTGAGATAAACGATGTTGCTGTTTTTCACAGCAATTACAAAGCGTGCTGCGCTCAGATAAACCGTACGGTCTACGCGTGCGTCAACGAGCGCGCCCTGCGATCAATGCTCACCCACGGAGCTGCTCGCTTCTACACCTCATCTTTATCTCCCTCCTCCTCCCCCCTCCTCCTCCTTCGATGCCCCCCCCCCCTCATCCTCCACATCTTCATTCTCCACTGCACTTACGCCACGACCTCAAAGCGTCCTGACCGGCTCCGGCTTCTCCGGCGCGACTCGCTCGTCTGGCTCCATCCTCCCGTTTCGTTTCCCCGAGACGCGTCGCCTCGCCCGCCTCGCCCGCCTCGCCCGCCTCGTCAGCGGCGGTTGCTGCAGGCCGCGGCCTCGTCCCCGCCGCGCGCCGGGTTCTCCTCGCCCGGCTCCGCGGCGAGACGCTTGCGGGACGCGGCCCCCCGCCAGCGGCACGCGGCCAACGCGCGCCCAATCTCCTGGCGGAATCGCCGGTCGTAGCAGGCGTAGAGCAGCGGGTTGATGCAGCCGTTGGCCGCGGCCGCGAGGAGGGCGACGCAGCGCCACGACGAGGACGGCCCGGAACCGCCGCCGCCGCCGAAGGACCCCGGCCCCTCGAGGAACGGCGCCTCGGCGGTGCCGCCCGGAGCGCCGGCGGCACCGCCGTGCCGCGACGTCTCCGCGAGCCCCGCGAGGAGCATCCCGAATGTGGGAGCCCAGCAGGCGAGGTAGACCCCCAGCACGGAGAGCACGAAGCGTGTGGCGCGGCACCAGATGCGCGGGCGGCGTCGGCGCCGTCGCTGGCCCCCGCCGCGGTGGGCGAGCGCGCACGGCCGCAGCGACGCGCACGTGCGCAGCGCCGACGCCGCGTAGCAGCCGAGCAGCGTCGCCAGCGGGATCGCGCAGCCCACGCCCAGCGTGGCCCAGCGCCACACCTCGGCCCACCACCACGCGGGCTTGGGGAAGTCAAGGGCGCACACGGCCGGCCCGACGACGCCAGCCGCGGGCCCCGGCCGGAGAGCCGGCGCGGCGGCGGCGTGCGGGAGGCCGGCCTCTCCCGCCGCCTCTCCCGCCGCCGCCGCCGCCGCCGCAGGCCACGGGGACGAGCGGCCCGCGGGGCTGACGCCGGCTCGGCCCCCCGACTGCGGTCGTGCCGTTGCCATGAGCAGGACGGGCGTCGTGAGGATGAACGCGAGAATCCTGCGGGGGTTGGGGGGGGGTGGCGAGAGGGCGCGTTGGGTACCGTTGTCATCGTGGCAACGGTGAATACGCTGGCAAAACCGAAGTTGGCGAATGCAATGGAGAAACGATCTCAACCATCCTGGCCGAGGTCTGCCTCGCGGTGTCAAAGGGGGATGGCATTGGATGGGATGGAAGGAGCTTGAGCCATGGACCTGCCCATTTTTCAGGGTGCTTGAGAGAGAGAGTTGTGAGGGCGCCTTTTTTGTCTTCATGAGCTGAGGCAATCAATCCTGAGACTTCTGAGAATCACCATCAAGCACAGCACCAACGATAAATCATCGTTGTGACAAAAATCTCGAGTAGATACATCACACTGTGGGATGTAAGTGTTATTTCCTAATCGCTGATGCCTCATAAGTACAGAAAATGGCTATTATTCCCCGCAAACTTTGCTTTTGTGACCAGGACATTGATATTTTGAAATGTACCTATTTTCAATGTGAAAACGTGGTGTGCATTTGTGTAATTCGTGCACTTAAAGTCCTGGTCACAAAAGCAAAGTTTGTGGGGAATAATAGCTATTTTCTGTACTTTTTAAAAGTCCCCGCCCCGCCCCCCCTCACTCCCGTGTGGATATTTGTCTCACGGCGACCCAAGCACACAGCAGTTTCTCTCGTCGACTGCGCCTGTCCCGTCGGCCACTGTTGGGTAATGCCACAAAGACGACCTGGTCCGATTCCTGTCGCGAGACCCTTGGCCGTCCATCCGCAAAGAGTTGAGATGTTTATACTCTTTGGTTATATTCGGTAAAGTCACGTAGGTTATAAATAAAACAACAAAAATCACGACGTTTCGGCCACAACACAAGTGGCCTTTATCAGGTGAAGGGACCGGATTGTCCAGAGGACAGCGTTGGAGTGAAGACAGCCAAGCCCAGGTCGCGTCCTTTAAGCTGTGTGGGAGAGTAATTAAGGTGCCTTGACAAAGGAATTAGCATAAAATGATGTACTACTGTGAAAGTTTGGGATACCACTACTTGAATAAATATACTGTACCATTGAAAACTAATTTAATGTTTGGTTTGATTTCCAATGATTAGATGTTCAAACATCAAATAGACATAACAGAGGGAGCTTTCTTTGGTTTATATCGCGTAAATATGTGTCGTTAAACTCACCACCACCCGACGCAGCCAACTGATAAGGCTTTTGTCACGTGAACAGAACTTGCAATTTGGTTACTAGGTCAGCACGCCGGTGTGTTGGAAAGTAAACCCACAACATTTACAATTCGAGTACGACAACCAACATCGTCAGGCGACAGCCGGAGTTGTCGAGAAATCCTCCTGTTTCGGTCTTAAATAGAGGGATAAATGTGATGAACTAGTAACGAATTGGCACGCGTTGTTTACGTGAGAAACCCTTACTAATTGGCTATGTTGGGTGGCGGCAGGTTTAACAACACAGTTATAGTCACGCGATCTAACCCAACAATAAAAAACCCCTCTATTATGGATAACATTGGTCGCGAAAGCCCCCGTGTTCAAAATTGACTCACCAAATAGACGCCTATTGCAAGGCATCGCGTCTGCATTGACCACACGTGCTTGTGATAATAATGCACGCATTGTCCTTGAAACTAATTGACCTACACCAGAGCTACAGCCTCCTTTGAGGGCCTTGTCTCGCCACACCGGTGTTAGACCAGGGAACGACGCCGGAAGGCAAACAGTACAAGGGCAATGCAAATATGAAGGCATCTAATAGCTCGGCTTGAGTTATTCATCATCCTGATACCGGCAAAAAAAACATCGGGTCCCAAAGACGTCCGAAAACGTACAAATTTGTCATTATATTCTTGGTTCTTTCGGTAAAGTCACGTAGAAGGGAAACGATAAAATAATAAAAATATAAAACAATATTTTTTTATATTTGTATTATTTTATTGTTTTATATTTTATTATTTTATTGTTTCCATTCTACGTGACTTTACCGAATGAACCAAGAATATGAATCCCTGCAGTCACGAAAGCTTTAAATCAAAATTTGTCATTCTTTCGGCTCACCGCGAAGTCGAAGTGCGATTCTCACCACCGAATGTAGCGACTTAGGTCGACACTGCGTCAGGCTCCTTCAGGGCGAGATCCGGGAAGTGGGAATCACCTGACCCCCCCCCCCCCCCCCCCCCCCCCGGCGTGTTACACATAGGTGTCATATCATCACAGCAACAACCAATCGAATAAGATGTCAACCCAGTTCTAAAAGCACTTAATTCTTATTTCATTTGAATGTATCTGGGCCGATACTTTATATATAGTTTATGTAACGTGGTTTTTTTGGTATCCATTACGAGAACCTACGTGTACAATGAGTGTTCGACTGGACCCGCTTAACACAACACCGGTGTCTCGTCGTCAGCTCTGCCAACCTCACAACAAAAATGTCACGGCGCGTTGGAGGACTGCTGCTACTGCTGCTGCACCTCCTCGCCAAGATGATGACGCCACCCCAGCTTCCCCCCCCCCCCCAGCTCCCCCCCAGCACTCCCCCCCCCCAGGTTCCCACCCAGCACCCCCTTCCCAGCACCCCCCCCCCCACCCCCCCACATTGTCGATCCACGCGGGATTTCTATCACGGGCAGAGCCGTCGGTGGCGAGGTTAAACCACAATTGGGGAAAATGCCTCTCGGACGCCCAGGGGGCCCTGCTCGCCATCCTTATCGGACGCCTGCTGTGCATCGGCTCCCCTCTGTCCCCAACTTATTGCGACGGCGCCAATCTCCGATTCGCGAGACCACGAGGGTCCCGACGTGCGGAGCGAGTGCGGCTCCCCTCTGTCCCCGTCGGAACGCCGCTTGCGTGAGAGATATCGCGCGGCACTGAACACTTTCTGTTGTTGTTGTTTGTTCTCCTGTGCACAGTAAGCACGTGCGTTGAGCTTCTTTCGCACCATACGTGGCCACCCATCCGACCGTCGTCATCGGAGGTTGCGGGGGGGGGGAGAAGAACCACGTGGACGAGCCACACTTTGCCGCACGCGCCGCTGTGGGCTTTTAGCGGAACCCGCTGTTGGTTTTGTTGATTCTCAAAGCGCTCATTCGTTTGTGTTTTTTTTTGTTCCGTTGTTTCGGCCGGCTCAGTCGGCTCGATAACAGCCGCGTGTGCCCCCCCCTACTCCCCCACTACGCCCCCACCCCACTACTCCCCCACCCCCCTACTCCCCCACGTGCACAGTCAGTATGAGTGCCATGGGCAGAGTTTGCACGGGGGGGGGGGGGGCAATGCCCCGCTAAAACGTGACACCTTTATTAATTTATTTTCAGTAGCTTACCATGTAGCACATTCATTAAATTATGATATGCACCCGCGATTCCTGATTGGAGGCACGCAGTGAACCCCATGCGCTTCCGGCCAAATACAGAAGTCACACTCCGCCTATGATCGGTGCTTAAATCATCATCAGCAGCAGCATCATCAGCTGTGCGTGTCTCCTCTGGCGGACGACGCTGGAGCCGATGAGCGAGGAAGCATCAGCAGCGGCTCTTCACCGCAGATGCAGTTTCGTGTTCTGGGCCTGGTTGGAGATGGCCTCTCTTACAGAATGAGAATCTTTATTTAGACTGCAGCAGCAGCAGGAGGAATCCGATGAGCTCCGACGATATTTTTCTCACAGATGTCCAAGTATTCGGCACGGCGAGCTGTTGTCTGCCTCGCCCGGTATGCAGGAGGTCGTGGGTTCGATCCCGACCCCGACACCTGCCATATAGTCTAACACGTAGGCTTTCGCGACCAATATTATTCATAATAAAGGTTTTTGGGTTAGATCGCGTAAGTATTGGGTTCAGTGATGACGTCGTCCTGCTGCACTATTTAAGACTGGAAGCAGGTGGAGGACTTCACTATTCTGGCAAATCGCCCGATGATGCTGGATGCAATTACCAGCGAAATGTCGTACTACTCAGATTGTAAATGTTGTGGAATTACTCTCCGACACACCGATGGGCTGAAGTAGTAACTAACTGGCGTTTTGTTCACGTGACAAATCCCTTACTAATTGGCTGTGTCGGGTGGTGGAGGGCTACAACACATTTATACTTTCGAGATCTTACCCAACGATCTTTATTATGACCCTCGTGTATATTTGGGGTCTGCATGCTCTCCCCGTGGCGGTCTGGATTTTTCTTCGGGTCCTCCGGTGGTTCCCTCCACATTTACAAACATGCCTTTAAGGGGTATTTGGCTGCTATATTATTTCCACGTGATAAGCCACTTCGTTGAGCTTGCATTTGTGATAGCCAGGTCGCTTCAGACAAAAAGAGTTATGGAGCTCAGTGGGCCTTACCTGATAAAAAACATATATATAAAGATTTGTTTTTGTTTAATCCGCTAGACTTGTGAAGCCGATTTAAACACGGCCGGCTGAAATCCGTATGTTTAACTGTGGATTTGGGCAGTAGCAGCTCAGCACATGCTGAGTCACCTTCTGGTATCACATCGCTTAATTTAGAGCAGTTAAACAAGGGAAGATTGGTCAATCACGACCCCGCCACCACTATCACCACCTCCCCCAAGCTACGCTTTCACCAGCCAAGCGGCGCAAATGATCGGGCCTCTCACGCCTTGTGTTTGTATGCAGTTGTGTCAATCGTTTAGAGATTGTGCACGCCTCGGAAATGTTTTAAGCCCACGCAATTGGCCCCCTGGGTAAACGGGGCATGCATCACGTATGCGGCACGCTGCTCGTGCCAATCGGCATATGGACGACACGACACTCGTTAACCAGACACAGTCGTGACTAATTATTGCCTTTCGCGGAATCATTTTATCTCAATTCAGCGCAACGGGCATTGTCTGCCAGGTGGATTTTGGGCCAGGGAATCGCACCGCTCGGTGGATCTGCAATGCAATGTGCCGGCAACATTAAATTATTGTAATTTTTTGCTATAAGCGATTGTATTTCACAGTAAATTCGTTTGATTAATAGCGATTATTCACTATGCCTTTTTAAAAACTGGTAAAC